CCGTGGTCAAGACCTTGTCTGGCGCGTGGACGACATCGCACCGCATGCACGTCAATCCCAACAAGAAGAACTGCCTGTTCGGCTGCGGCAAAGACCCGCAGATCAAGAACACGGACGACATCAGCCACTACATTACATGCCCGCGAATGTGGGCGCTACTGGCTCAACCTCGGGGACAACCTGCTGGTGATGTCCTCGCGCGGCTCGGACTCCACGAGAGCGACAACACCGACGACCACCCGAAGCACACCATCACGCGCATGGCTGTGGCCTTCCGCATGTACAGCATCATGCGGGCGCGCTCCGAGCTGGGCACGCCCGCCATCCACGACGAGCTCAAGTACCACAAGGACGTGGTCGCAGCCGCCCGCCGCGCCCTGAGGTTGCCACGGTGCCTCGTGGGAGGCGCGGGCCCGCTGCGCCTCTAACCCGCGGACACGCGCCCCCTTCAGCGCGTCGTTCGCTCCTCCTCCTCCTCCTCCCCCTCCTCCTCCTCCTCCTCCCCCTTCCTTTTTGTGCAAGGGCTATGGCGCACGTGCCACTTGTTTGCAAGAGGGTCCAGCTCGAATTCGGAAGTGGTTTGCTGGTTTGTCTGGGGTGCATGCGTCCCGCTGTTTGTTTGAAGGGCGAGCCCCATTACTATCCCATTGGATTTTACGGCAGTTTCTTCGGATTTCGCAACGGATTTTGGAAGAAGAGGGACTTCGTCCCAGATTGAGAACGTTTCGTACCCCAGCAGCGCAGCTGTAAACCATGGGAGCGGCCGAGCGCCCACAGTCTGAGCGGACTTGTGGCGGGCGCGCCGTGCCAGTTGCCCGTAAGTCGTGTTGAAAAGCCGCTGGACTCGCTTCCGTTTTCCTGCGTTTCTCCAGAGCCCTCGCCCCGCCAGCGCTGCTCCTCCCGTGCCGCCCCGATGTTCCCCATGTTCCGTGCGCCTCTTGTGGGCGGGCAGCGCTTGGGGCGGCCGTGGCATTAAGTCGGGCACGTCCCTCCGCAGAGCGAGTAGTCAAACATAGTTTAGAAATCGTATGGGGACGATATGTCTGATATGGTTTGCCTATGTATGCATGTTTTTGGACAGTGTTTCATTTGTCGCTCAGAATCCGCCTGTCGGAGGACATGCCCGACCTAACCCTGGCATCCCTTCCTTCCAACCCTCATCCACGAGAAGGAGGAGGAGGAGGAGGAGGAGGAGGAGGAGGAGGAGGAGGAGGAGGTGGTGGACGGGAGCGACTGCATGCAGTGGGAGCTCCCCCGAGCACCGCGCGGCCCGGAGCCACTTGGGGTTGGGAGCCCTCTGCCCCCGCACCCCCGCCTGGTGGATCGCGGGGTGAGGTCCCGTCGGCGGCGCGCCGAGGGCGGAGAAGGCCAAATTTCAGCTTGGCCTGTCCCTCTACAGGAGGAAAATTCAGAAAGTGGTCCAACAAGTAGTCTTGGGATGGTTTTTTTCCAGTATTTTGGGCTATGTTTGAAGATTCGTTTCGACTATATTTTCCAACTTTTCGTTCAAACTCTGCCTGTAGGGGGACATGCTCGACCTAAGGCCGAGGGGGCGGGCCTTCCCAGGAGGCTGAGAAGGCCTCTGACCTTCCAAGAAGTGTCGTAAGCCTTCTCCGAAGCCCCGTTGCCTTCTGAAAGGCATGTCGCTCTCGCAGAGCTCGTTTCGATTCCTCGAACTCGATTTGATTCCATGGCGACGGCTTCCGATTCCGATTCGATTCGACTTGGGATTCCGATTTGGATTCCTTCTTGGAGGCATGCTAGCCTGCCGATTTCCGCCGATGCGACTCCTCCCGAATTAGCTGCCGATCCGACTCATCGATTCGATTGTGGGCTCTCCTGCTCTCGCTCCCCCCCCTCTCGGCACGCCGCCGAGCCAGCCGTGGGCGCTGAGCATAGCAGGCACCGCGAGGAGGGGGAGGAGGGGGAGGAGGAGGGGGAGGAGGAGGAGGAGGAGGAGGAGGAGGAGGAGGAGGAGGAGGAGGAGGAGGAGGAGGAGGAGGAGGAGGAGGGGCCACTTGCGCAGGGCGGAGCGTAGGCCAGACGCGGGACGCGACTCCACGCCCAGGGCCTTGGGCTGTTCGGTTTGCCTCGCGGCGCCAGTGGCCGCCAGGGCTGGCGCGCCCGTGCCGAGCTCGAGCGGGCGATGCGTGCCTAGAGAACAACCATCACGGCATAAGCACACGTGTTCGGAAGTCGCCGCGGACGGATCTTTCGGGGCGACGCTGCCCCCCCCCCCCCCTGCGGCGCCTCCGACGCCGCCCCTGGCGCGCCCCGCGCGCCAGGGCGGGGGGCTCAGCGCCGACCCCAGAAATCCGTGCGGGCTTCTGCCGAAAGATTATGTTTACGCGACGATGTCTTCTCTAGTGCCGCTCAGTACCCCCCCAGGGCCCCAAGGGTGCTTTCAGGAGCGGAGTTGCTCAGAGGGCTCGCCCTTGCGAGTGGCTCGCAACGGGGGCGTCACATTGATGATGCGGCGGCTGATCAGACGAGACTGAGGGTTACGAGAGCCATGCCTGCGTGATAATAGGCAATAGGACATGACGGGCGGAGGGCGATTCAAGGAGACGATGATGCGCATGTCGATGTTTACAACGGCGGTCAGCATGGTGATGAGGATGACAGCGTGGCAGAGAGGACGACGATTCGGTGATTGTGGCGGGCAGCCATGATGGTGGCAAGGGTTGAAGTAGAGGAAGGGCATGACACAATGCCAGACAATGCGTCTAGCATGCGCCATCGGGACAACGCCATGCAGGCGTGACACCGACACACGAGGATTGGGCGGTGGGGAGCTGATCCGCCCGCAGCACAGACATGCTCAGGTGCCGTGCTTCATGTATTTCTCACACGAGGACGCCGCGGGTCGTGGTGGTGTCTGGGGGGCAGGGAGGACGAGAGTTCACACTCGGCGACGAACATGATGTCGGCACGTTGGGAACCAAGTTGCAACGATATGGCGAAAAGCAGCGCCCTGCGAAATTGCCTAACGATGTGTCGAACCCGATTCGCATGACGAAGATGTCGCTGCGGGGCAGCACGTGCTTCGCTTCAGCACTACATCGGATTGGGCGGGGCTTGGAAGGGGAGCATTGCTTGCTCGTCGTTCTCGCCCTCCACCCCCCTCCGCAGCGGGCTTCGGCGAGGCAGACGCGGCCCCCCGGGAGCCAGAATGAAGGCGATGAGATGAGCACGTCCTGTTCAGAGACTGTCCTGGCTTTCGTTCAGTACGTGTTCCTCGGATGTCTCGAACCTTTATCCAGGGCCGGTTCGTCATCCCGAGCCATTTTTCTGACGGTCCCGAGGCCCGATGAGGGCCCCCGCAGTGCGAAATTTGCCGAAGATCTCCCGTCCTGTTTTTTTTTTTTCTTGGCTCGAGCAGGTCTGGGGTCGCTGCCTCGCAAGAGGGGGCCGCGAGGGGGCTGATAGCCACGGATGACCGGTTGTGCCTCTGTGGCCCCGCAGAGGATCAGGCGATCGCAAACATGGATGAAGGGGGCGTGGATTAGCGACGGGTCCTGTTTCCATGGGCAATCGCGGATTTCCGCCGCCGAACGAGGCGGCACCGGCCGCATTTTGGGGAGGGCACCTCGCCCGATCCATGGATTTGGCGACCGCGCGCCAAACCCATGGACCGCTAATCCATGTTGGCGCGCCCCCGAGAGGAGGCGCCACCATGAGGGCCAGAGGCCATGGGCCTGGAGCCAGCGGCAGTGTTCCCACGACGGGGCCACAAGAAGCGCGTGCCACGAGCGGGCGGCGGCGCCACGTCCACTTTTCTGCGGCTCTGGGGCAACAACCGGTTTGTTCAAGAACTGGTTTTGCGTTCGAGGGTTCGAGAGGTTGACACCTCTCCCTCGGCAGAGCGTCGGCGGAAATAAGAGGGGGGCGACTCCGCCAGCGTAAGCGGGCGGATCTAACTCAAGAGGGGGAAAAACAAACAGACACAATTAATCGTTAACTCCCAGTAAAAATATGGGAAGTGGTGGGGAAGACGAAAATCCCCAAACATTGCCAAATATGGGGAATCCTGGGATTTGTGTGTATTCACGAATTTGTGTGTGTCCGTGGGCCCCTTGGAAAAAATGGAAAAATGTTTGTCGAGAGGTGCACGTTTCGTTGGATGCAGGGCCTCCTGATCGAAGCCCAGAAGGCAGTCGGGCTACTCGGGGGGGGGAGAGCCGCGCGGGGGGCCGTGGGGCCGCGGACCGCCGAAGAATTCTTGTTGGGTATCCCCAGGGGTCTTGTAGAGAGTTTCTCTAAAGGGCTTAGGCAACCCGTCCTCTTTGTCCTCCTCCCCCTTCTCCTCCTCCACCTCCTCCTCCTTCTCCTCCCCCTCCTCGCCCTCCCCTCCTCGGGTCGCCTACGACCCCGGGGGAAACCGTCCAGGGTCCTGATGCTGCAGAGCGGCCATGGGCACCCAGGGCCGCGACCAGGGCCAGCAGGAGCAGGACGCAGGGATTTGCGTTCGTTCGTGGCCAGGCGTGCGTTCCGGTTTCTGGGCCCCGAGTGCGCCATGACGCGGGCCTTGAGAATGGCCCCGTGTTTTCCAGCATGTCGATTATCCCATGAAGCTGTTCTCTCTCTCTCTCTTTCTCTCTGTCTCTCTCTCTCTCTCTGTCTCTTTCTCTCTCTCTCTCTCGTCCTCTCTCTCTCTCTCTCTGTCTCTCTCTGTCCCTCCTGATACGCGTCGAGATAAGCAGACTCACGCCATGTTTTGTTGGAGATGTCCCCCTATTTTTGCGGACCCCGACCGTCGAGAGGAGCTGGTATGCACCGCGCAGTGCCTGGAGGCCCGGGTGTACGCCCCCACGGAGTACATCCACCAGGAGAGGGGCGGTCGATGGCGGCTTCGCTCCTTCTTATCCTTCGCCTCCTCGATATCCGTATGTATCCGCGGCCTCGCGGGCTGGACCTCTGGGCCGCGACCCCGCGGATACGGGGCGTTTTTTAGTGGATGCCCGGCGCGGAACGTATCCGTGCGAACGCGTATCCACGGGATCACGTCTTGGAATCCAGGGCACGGATACGGATATGTTCGCAGCACGTGGCCTCCTCACCTGCCCTCCTCCCCCTTTTCGTTCTGCTGCAGGCATGGCGACCTCGTGAGGCAATCCCGTGCGTCAGGCAAGCGGCAAAGTCGCACCGCCAAGAGAAGCTTCACAAGTAGTAGAGACCAGGCGACAGGAGCAGGATTGTGCAGGAATGGGGAGAGGGAGCAGGCAGAGGGGGTGCCTCAGCGGAACCCTTTGGACTGCGCTAGGTCTTCTCGCACCGAATGGGTAATTGTTGCAAGGCTACTGCCAGGGGGTCCGAGCCTTCGGCCTGACGATCCAGACGAAGTGGACGACGGCCGAGGCGTTTTGCAAATATTCGCATTTCTGCGGGCTGAATCTAGGCCTCCCACATGAGGTCCGAGTAGATGGCGTCGACCGACCGCACCGCATCGCCGGTGCATCGCCGATGCGGCGCGATGTGGAGGCCGACTCTCTTCACGCCGACTTCGCCCCGATGTACCGCCGACGTCGACGATGCATCGGCGATACTTCGGCGATGCGGCGCGATCCTTTGACAACATCGGCTCGGAACCGACTGGCCTCTACTGTAGCAGATGGGAGCGTAATGCAGAGAGGTCCCCAGAGACCGCCTCTCCAGTACCACCGCGCTGGCCTTCTAGAACGATGGTGTTACGCACCGGGTGGCGCTACCCGCACTCCTTCGATGAAAGAATGCGCGTCGCCGACGGCCCAGAGTCGAAACTGTGCACAGTATTCGCTTGTGTTGCTGGAAAAAAAAGGTTCGCGGGAAGAGGCGGACCTTGCACGGCTTGGTTCGCTCAGCCGGCGGCCCTGGCCCGCCAAGTTGGGCCGTGGTGCGGGTCCCCTAGAGCTGCGCGTTCGGTGTCGCTACCTGCCGCTGCCACACCCTCGAAGGAGAAACAATTGCATGAGCATCAACTGTCGGAGCTCCGCGCGAACGGCGCGCTCCGCGCGCCAGGGAGGGGTGCCCAGCCCAGCCCCAAGAAATCCGCGCGGACCCCCGGAAGTTCAAGCTTAGGTATGTTGGTTTTTCTGAGGTGGGAGGACGCTGAGAAAAGATGAGTGTCGGAGGATACAAAATGGAGCGAGGACGCTGAGAACGGATGAGTTAGGGAGGGAGGGCGGCAAAGAGGGATGGGCCTGGCACGGTTTGGTGGCTCTGTATGGCCCGCGTCCTTTGTCCGGTGCCTGGCAATGCGCCCGGGGCTACGGGGGGCCTCGCCGCTGGCAGGGCATGCGGGTTCTGCGCCCTTCGCTCGCGTCTCCGGTGCCCTCGGATCCCCGCGGGTTGCAGCGACTATAGTTAGTCAGGGGGAGCGGGATGCCGACAGTCAAAGACAGGAGGCACGTCCAAATAAGAACTTGGCCTGTTAGCGGGTGCCCTACAGAAATGTCGTGTCCCCCTCTGGCCGCGGGGGTGTCCATGGAAGCCCTTGGGCTCTTGAGGAGGCTCAAAGCTCGACGAGAGGCCTTTACCCCAGACTTCCCTTGTAGCAAGATGCCTGATTGCATTCTTCTGCTGTAATGATCATGTGGATGTGAGGGCGAGGCGCAACGGCCAAGGCAACCTGGACACGTGGACGTGACTGGCCCTTTCAGTTCTGCTGGGCCCTGGCTAGTGCCCCTCAATTTTTCACCGCATCGGCCAACGTATCATTGCTGACTCGCTCTCGATCACCTCCCTGAAAATTGTGTCAATCGTTGCCCTGCCCCTGTTGCAGTTTACGACTTCTTGCTCGGCTTCTCTGCAGCATGTTTGTCTTTTCGGCGGGACGACATGGATGTTCATAGTTCGATATTGCGCATTTCTATGTGTCGACAAAGTGCCACCGAGGAGAAGACGCTGTTCATCGTGCAGCAGGGCATTTGCCTTCGGATGATGGCGGTCTTTTTGCCGAAAATGCATTGGGGCCAGGTCACCGGGTTGTCAAGCACTTCTATATGCTGGTGTTATCGGCTGTAGTTGTTGGAGGGACGAGCTTTAGGGTGTCATGCGGTCATCGTGCCTAGACATCTATTGTCGCAGTGATACGTGCGTGGGTGGGACAAGAGTGTCAGTTGAGCGTTGGAAGAAGGAAGGGTTGTTAAATGGCGTTCGGTGGTCATCGTGATATCCACTATGTTGGTCAGCACGGGGCCCATGCTGTGCTATACGACCAGTAGGGGGTACCCTGGGCCTACGTTGTGTTTTTGAAGTTTTGCACGGGTGTCCACCAGAGGTTCTGGAGCTGAGGTCGCATTGAGCAAATGCTGAGGAGTTCGTGTGTGGTGTGCGTGTGTGTGAATGTGTATGAATGTGTGTGTGTGTGTGATTTTGTGTGTGAATGTGTGTATAGGTTTGCGTGTGTGTGTGTGCGTGTGTGTGTGCGTGTGTGTGTGTGTCTGTGTGTGTGTGTGTCTGTGTCTGTGTCTGTGTCTGTGTCTGTGTCTGTGTCTGTGTCTGTGTCTGTGTCTGTGCCTGTGCCTGTGTCTGTGTCTGTGTCTGTGTGTCTGTGTGTGCGTGTGTGCCTGCGTGTGCACCGAGGAGCCGGGGGAGAGGGACGAGGAATACAGCAACCACGAGTACAGCGTGGAGGAGGACGAGGAGGAGGACGAGCTGGCTGGCGACGCCCGGCTGGCGGGCTGCTGGGAGACGCTACTGCGGCGTGACTTTGGCAACGACGCGAATGAGCTGCTTGGCCTGCCCAAGCGCCTGGGCGGCCTCGGGGCGCAGCTGGCCTGGTCGCAGCGGAACGCTGCTTTTCTTGCGTCCTGGTCGGGCGCGGCCGCCGAGGTTGCGAGAGACATGGACTGGGGCTCGCTGCACGACGCCCTCGAGCGCCTGCCAGCTGTCGCAAGCAAGCTGGAGGAAGCGAGGCAGGGCCTAGCCCGGCAGGGACTGTTACTGGCGGACGGCGGGACGCTGGCTGGCTTCTTGGCTCACGAGCTCAAGCAGGGCTTGGCTATGGAGAAGGTGCAAAAGACACACCACGCTGCGCTCCTGCAGCATTTGCCCTTTCTCCAACAGGCCACTCTGCGAGGGCAAGCGGGGCCGGGTGCGGCAGCCTTCCTGGGCTACCCCACCGAGGCGCTCTGCGCGCTCGAGGACGCGCGCTGGGAGACGGCAGTTCGCATACGGCTGCACCTCCGGCGGCCGGAGTGCGACCGGGGCCAGCTCGCGGCGGCGACGGCCCACTGCTGCCTGCGGAGCGCCAGCGGCGACGTTTGCGGGCGGCCACAGGAGGGCAACCTCGGCTACCACGGCGCCGCCTGCCAGAACGGAGGAGGGGTGGTGCGCAGGCGCGGCAGACTGGCCAGGCGGCTCGGCGGGCTGCTCCGGCGCTGGAGGCACGAGGAACCGCTCTACGAGCAGCGCGTCCCGCTCTGGGACAGGCCGCGGCCGGGCCACGCCGGGGAGACGGAACGCGCCGTTCTCGATCTGGAGTGCTAAGACGAGGACGGCCGCCGCTGGCTGGACGTGTCCGTGCGACACCCCGCTGCGGGCACCCCAGCGGAGCAGCGGGTCGCGGCCCGCCGCGACGGCGAGGCGAGCCGGCGCGGGGAGCGAGACAAGCACGCTCGCTACCCCGGAGAGCGCCTCACTCCGTTTGTCGTCGAGGCGGGGGGGCGACTGGGCGCTGAAGCGCGCCTTTGGCTGAAAGCCGAGGTGCGCCGCCTGCCCGACGCCGAGCAGGCCCGCGAGCCCGCGAGCTCGCGCGCGCCCACCGCGCGCTCGCCCGCGGCCTGCAGGGGAAGCTGGCGCGGCAGCTGCGCGCCGCCGCGGGCCTGCGCTGAGGCGCCGGCAGCGCGCAGCCTCGCGGGCAGCGCCAGCCGCGCGCCCCTGCGGGCCCGCGCTTGCCCCCCTGACTGCTGGCGACGGCGAAACAGCAGGCCGGCGCGCCGCGGCGACGCGGGGGGCCGCAGCGCCGCTCTGCTGCGAGCTTGCGCTGCCTGCGGGCCACCGAGCTGACGCTTGCTGCGGGCCAGGGCCCGACGCTGGAGCGGCCCACCGGCCTTGCGCCGCCGGCGGCGGCTTGGGCTGCGCCGCGGCCGCGGCCGGCGCGGGGCGGCGCTTCCGCCCTCTCCTCCTGCTCCTCCTCCTCCTCCTCCTCTTCCTCCTCCTCCTCCTCCTCCTCCTCCTCCTCCTCCTCTCCCCTAGATCCTCCTAAGCCCCTCCTCCTCCTCCTCCTCCTCCTCCTCCTCCTCCGCTCTCTCCTCCTCCTCCTCCTCCTCCTCCTCCTATCCTCTCCTCCTCCTCCCCTCCTCCTTCCCTCCCCTCCTCCTCCACCTCCTCCTCCTCCTCCTCCTCCTCCTCCTCCTCCTCTCCTCGCATGGGCGCTCGGCGGCGCGCCACTCTTCTCCGCGTCGCGCCCCTCGTTCCCCAGGCGCGGTGGGGCGCGCCCTCGAGGCGTGGCTGGGGGGCGCCCCGGCAACGTGGGAGGCCGAGCGTGTGCTGTGTCTGGGCCCGTGTCTGCGTCTGCGTCTGTGTCGTTCGCTTGCGCGCGCGTGCCCGCGCGCTGCCCCGAGGGGCGGGGGAGAGGGCGAGGACGCCCATCCGCGAGTACGCGAGGAGGAGGAGAGGAGGAGGAGGAGGAGGAGGAGGAGGAGGAGAGGAGGAGGAGGAGGAGGAGGAGGACAAGGAGGTGGCCGGCTCTCCGGCCCCCCCAGCGCCGGAGGGAGTGGGCGGCGATCCGGCTCCCCCAGCGCCCGAGGCGGCGCCTCCGGTGCTTCTGCGGAAGGCGCCGCAGGCAGCGCTTCTGGCGGCCGCGGCCCCCGCAGGCGGCGGCGCAGGCGAGACCACCGGGAGCGGCCGCAAGCGCGCAGAGCTGGTAGCGGCAGCTCTGCGGGTCGATGCCGGGACGAGGTGGTCCCAGAGGGAGTCCTCCTCAGGTGGGTTATGGGCCCCGCGATGGCGCGACGGCGCCCGGCGAGCTGCGGGGCACCAGCCCCGCGTGGCATGGTGTCGGGAGCGCCCGCCGCGCGTGGGCGGACACCAGCGATGACGATCGGGCGTCGCCGAGGGAGGTGCTGGCGCCGAGAGTGTTCGCGGCCGCTGCGGTAGCGACACCTCCCCGCCAGGTGTTGCCGCGCCCCCCGCCTTGCGATCATGGGGCAGACGGCGGGATGCTCTCGGAGTTCGGCTTCGAGCGGGCGCGGAGGCCGTGCCCGCCCAGGGCACGCGCGAAGTGGCGCCTGCCGTCTCCGAGGCGAGGGTGTCGAAGTTTGTATTGGCGCGGCGCTTCCTCCAGCAATTCAGGAGCGGCCAAGAAGGGGGTGAGGACGAGAGGCGCGTGCGTATCATGATCCTGTTCATGGTGAATGTCGAAGCTAAGCAACCAGAGCGTTTGTTTGCACCCGCCGTGTAAGATCGCTGCGCCCGCGCAATCGGCAGACACATTTCACCAGTGACGCAATGTGAACATACCGCGTTGCAGATGTTCGTTGTTATTGCGTTCCGTTGTGCCGTGGCTCTGAGCGCCCCGTGGTTCGCGGCTCCATGGCCCCGTGGCGGCCCGTGGTATCTCGGCACTCTGGTCCGTGACCTCAATGGCCGCGTGTTCCCGCGATGCCGCGGCCCGCGGCGCCGCGGCGCATGTGCGACGGGGCCGATCACGAAAGCCTTGCGGTGCCGAGTGGTGGCGCTCAATCCGCTCGGTGGCTTCAAGTTTCGAGAGACAGCATGACGCTGGCCATGATGGAATGCATGGCACAGACACGAGCTTGCCGGGCACACCTGGCCAAGGCCATGAGTTCTCAGAGAACGCATGACACTGGCCATGACATCCCCAGAAACCAAATAGGACGGACACGGATTAGCCGGGAACGCATGTCAACGACCATGGGTTCCGAGAGAACACATAACATTGGCCATGAAAGTCCCAAAGTGCACATGGCACGGACACGAGTTTGCCAGGAACACCTGGCACTGGCCAGGGGTTTTGCGAGAACGCAAGCCAAGGATCCAGAAATCCCCCTTGCGCCCCAAAGCCACAATCAACAACAAAATCAAAACCCCTATGGGATTCGCGTGGGCATGAGTTCTGTGAGAACACATGGCCAGGTCACGCGGTTCACCCACGCACATGCGCACTTTTCAGATTCCCCCTCCTCCTCGCCCCCATCCCGCCTTTCCCTCCTGCTTCCCCCCTCCCTGTCGTTCCACCCCCCTCCCGGGCTGCCTCCTCGTTCCCGTGGCCCCTGGGGCGCTTCGTGGCCTACGGCGTGCGGCCCGTTGCTCATGGCCCGTGGCCCCTGGCCCGTGTTTTGTCGCCAGTGGGTGCCCTGCGGCAGGTATCTGGCAACGCGCGTCGTCATGGCTACGAAATGCTGGGAATCTGAGGGCCCCAGGGGTTGCGAAAACACGATTAGTTCGGGTGGATGGCACGTTCAATCACGCCTCGTTGATCGACTTGTGCGCGCGCGTTTTGAATTCAGTTCGTAGCGACTGGCCTCTGGTTGTGTTGCGATCGGCACGTGCATTCGCGTAGCTTGCGACTGGGCCGCAATTTGGCTGGCTGGCTTTAGTTAGTTCTGAACCGATGATTCTGGCGGTCAGCGGTCTTCTATGATATCCGATTGCGTTCGCGCGTGCGTAGCCCTGCGAGCTGTGCGCAGCATTTGCTTCGAGCCATAATGCCTCTCCCCCTCTTCGTCCCCCCCCTCTTTGCCGCTCCCGAGCAATTGAGCGAGTGGATTCCTGCCGCCGCGAGGCCGGCACTGGCAGTTCCGCCCTCAGAGGCGGATCCAGTGGACGAGGCCAGCGGCGCACCGGGCTGCGAAGGCGCTGACGACGGCGCGGCGGCAGCGGCGCGGCTGCTGGCGCGCCTCGGGGCGCTAGCAGAGCGACAGGTTGCGGCGGCAGGAGGGCTCCCTGGAGCGCTGACGACGGCGCTCCTCCTGGATGCCGCCGGCGCACCGGGCTGCGCAGGCGCTGCCGACGGCGCGGCGGCGGCGGAACGGCTGCCGGGCGCTGCCAGCCAGCAGTCCGGAGGGCCGCTCCTGCCGGACGCCGCTGCGGCATGCCCCCTGGGCGCGGGCAAGCTCGACATCGATCTCGTGTACGATGGCCTCGGGCAACACCGCTTCCCTCGCGGGGCGCCCCCGGTGGAAGTTGATGACCCGAGTTCCCGGGGGCACCCCGCGGGCGGTCGAGGTGGAGGCTCTGGCGGGGCTCGACGCGGCTGCGGGCGAGTTCCACACCTGCAGGGACGCCATCGGCGTCGGCGAGCCGCGCTCCCCCCCGGGTCGCGCCCGGTGGAGGTTGATGCCCTGGGGCTCGATCCTGCGCCTTCGCCCGCAGTAGAGGTCGGAGGCCAGGGCGCTGTCCCTGCGGCGGCTGCGGCGGCGCGCGCGCACCACCTGGCCTTGGTGGGAGCGCTGCTGCGGTCCGGCGGCCGCGCGGGGGAGGAGGAGGTTGCCGCCTTCCTCCACGTCCTCATCAAGGGAAAGCGCCGGGCGCTGCAGCGCCCGCTGGCCGCCGCCGTCGGCGGCCTCGCTGACCCAGAGCTCGCGTAGCTGATGGGTCGGATGGCGGCCGGCATCGCCGCCCCTGCCGGCCAGCCGTAGGCCGGCGGGTGCTGGGCGGGCGCCTCCTGGCTCGCCGCGCGCTGCGCGGAGCGCTCGGCGGGCGCGCGCGCCTTTCCCCCCCCTTGCCCCCTTTCCCTCCTCTCCCCGCGCGTTCCTTTCCCTCTTCTTGCCACAGGGCTCCTCACGCACGTCGGTAACGAAAGAAACAGTGTGTGTGTGTGTATGTGTGTGTGCGTCTGTGCGCCTGTGCGTCTGTGCGTCTGTGCGTCTGTGCGTCTGTGCGTGTGTATTGTAGCGCATGTTGCGGGCATCCGACGAAACCAATGCAGGATGTGGTGCTATGTGTGCGGTTCGGCCGGCTTCCTGTCTATGTACGGAAGAGCTGCATCAACGCAGCCTTGATCGCAACCGTGCTCACCTATACCTGGAGTGGCAATACAATCTCAGGCCCCTCGGCTCAGCTCTCAGTGTGTGTTGATACCTAGCGAGAACGGAGATTCGCAAACATGCGGTTTTCAGACTGGTTTGTTTCCCACATTGCTTGCATCGCGTGGCATGGTCGTCGGGCCTGCTGGCCCTTGAGCGTTTCTTGTGACCTCGTCTGCGCAAGTATGATGATACAGACATCGTGCACCACATCCTTTTCTAGAATCCAGGCTGCCACCAGAAAGTATGATTAGTTTTGCCGTGCCACGCTGTAAAGGGCGAAGCTGGTCTCAAAGCTACTAATTAGGCTTGCCCGTTGGCCCGGACACCCTGCTCGCCGCCTGCCTCTTCGCTCGCGGCCGCGACCAAAAACGTACCCCAACCAGCCCATCCATAAACGATGCCCATGGGAGCTACCTTGATCAGTAATGTGGAAAAGCATGCAGTGAAACAAACGGCCTGGGAAGCCGTCGTACCCCAAGAGGGGGAGGATGGAGGAGGAATCGGCAGAGGAGGAGGAGGAGGAGGAGGGGGAGGAGAAGGGGGAGGGGGAGGAGGAGGAGGAGGTGGAATAGACGGATGAGTAAGAGGACTCCTCTTCCTCATTCGGAAGAGGAGGAGGTGGAGGAGGAAGAGGAGGAGTAGGAGGAGGAAGAGCAGGAGCAGGAGCAGGAGGATGAGGAGGGCAAGCATAAAAGGCAAGAGGCCTATTGGATGCCTCTTTCTTCGGATGTCTCTTTAGAGCTTCTTGGCTTACTCTTGGGGCGTCCTGGTGTCCTCTTGGCGGTCCCCCGGGGGCCTCGTGAAGCGTCTCGGGTGCCTCGGGGAAGCCTCTTGGGGGTCTCTTGGGAGCCTCTTGGGGATCTCCTGGGGGCCTCTTCGGGCCTCCTGGGCGCCTCTCGGGGCCATCTTGGGGCTCTCTTGGGAACCTTGGGGGCCATCTTGGAAGACATCGGTGTCCGCAATCAGCGCTGGAGCCCCAGGAGGCCCAAACTGGCACAACAAACTTAGGAACATCGATGATTGTTGCCGTCTCTCCGAGCCTACTTGTACCCTCCAATGGGTTGCTGGGCGCCCCGTCCAGGTCCAGGGGAAGGAGGCAGGGGAAGGGATAAACTCCTCCCCAGAGCGGAAGGGGGGGGAAGCGGAAGTTCACCAAACCACACGCCCAGAGGGCTGGTGGGAGTTGTTTGCGCGCGTGTCGTGTTGCAGTCTGTCGTGAGGTGCGCGTGTGCGTCCCAAATACGGCAAACAGAAATGTTGCCCAGCCCACCCTAGGCTGCCTTGCGTGTTCGCCTTGCCCGTGTTGTCCAGCCCGCCCTAGGGCAACCTGATCCTGAGCAATCCGTTGCTGTGGGACCCAGAGGGTGCTTATGCGCTAACCCACGTGCAGGTTCGGATCCCGGCTTAGCTTCACTTACAGAGGCCGATTGGCGTGAACGAGAAGGGAATTGTTGAATTCGCGTCTTACGTCGGGGATAGCTACCTTGTTGTAGCATGTGCTCGTGAACGTTATTCAAAGTTGCGTTGGGATCTCGTTGTTGCCCAGCGTCACTCTCTGTAAACACAGACTTTGTACCCGCCTCCTCCCCCCTCCTCCCTCCGTTCCTCCCACTGGCATGTGTGCATTGCTCAGAGGGCCAATCAGTGCGGTGTTACGCATTTTGGTGGCAATATGCCCGAAGGCTCCCACTTCAATCGTGAGCCCATATCGAGTGTTCGGTCGAGGGCTTCGCGAGAGACGCTCAAGCTACCCCATGAAAGTTCCCGGGCAGCCAACATCGACCACCAGCCTCAGGTTGTTCAACATGTTTTGATCATTTGGGCGTTCTCCTTCGGATAGCTTCGGGGGCGTGTCAGCGGGCTCGAAGACGGCCCTGTGATGCCCGAGGAAAGCTCCAATGCGTTAGCTGAGCGCCCCAAGATGACCCCAAGACGGCCCAGGAGGGCATGCGAAATGCATCAAGAGAGCCCCGGGGCGGTCCAGAGCGCCAAGCGCCAAGACGGCACAAAGGAGCCTTCAAATGTCCGCAAGTCACCAAGACAGCCCGAGAGGCCCCAAGAGGATACCTAGAACTTGCAGCGCGCGTGAAGCGCGCGCGACTCGAGTTCTTAACTAGAAAGACGTACCTGAATCATCAACTACAAAGCGGCCAGCTACTATACACACCTCTCCTCCTATCCGCGGGGCTACGGCATTCCCCATGCACCCCATCGGAGGCGTGAGTTGAGAATTGCCTGCGTGCGCTGCACCATGGGTGGTCAGGGGGCAACCATTTTGCATCCTCACGAGGCACGTAATATATGCTTCCCTCCATTTTGTAAGCTCTGCCAGCCCAGCTTCCATGCCTGCTAAGGTGCTGACCTTGCAGTCAAGCGAGTTGACGCTATTGATTGAACGGTGTGTGCCTCTCTTTCTCTCTGCCCGAGGCAGGATGTGTCGCAATTTTCCTTGGACGGAGTGAGGTTGATTGATGTCGGGCTGGATTGCATGTAGTGTCTTGACTCTCGCCTGGATGGCCGGGGTGGACAAAGGCATGTCTTCGAGATTGCGGACGAGCGTAGTCGAGCGTATCCGAGCGAACGTGTGTGTGTGTGGTCGAGCGTGTTGGTTCTGTGCAACGCCTCGGTATGTCGGGTTCAAGTTTGTGTTTCTGGGACCCCCCAGGTGTCTTGCGCAACCTCAGACTTGACACCACCCCTTCGGACGCAGACAATGACTGCCTGTGTGATGCGCTGTAGCGCGTGCTCCACTGGCATGGCCGTGTCAGCGTGCATGTGCGAGCACACTGGGCTGCAGGGTTTCTCCGAAGGGCTTAGACGACCCGTCCTCCTCCTCCTCCTCCTCCTCCTCCGCCTCCTCCTCCATCTCCCCCTCCCCTTCCTCCACCTCCTCCACCTCCTCCTCCTCCTTCCCCTCCTCGGGTCACCTACGGCCCAGGGGAAACCATGCACTGAGGGCAGCCCGGCCGCTTCTCTCCGTACGCGCCGTTCTCGTCGTCGTCCAGCGTCGCATGCTGTTTCTGGGACGGGCGCCGCTCTCGACAGCTGCAGGCCTGCGGCCCCCCGCGCACGAGCCACGCTCGGCAGGGGGAAGGGTCGATGGGGCAGGGAGGGAGATCGACCGATAGGGGCCCGATAGCCCCAACCTGCACAGGAACGTGCGGATTCACTGTCGGGGGCCTATCGCCGATCTATCGGCGATGCATCGCCGATTCCAGGTTGATGTTCCCCCCCCCTATGCCAGTCCCCCCCCGATCGTTGCCCCTCAGGACTGGTCGAGGGCGAGGGAGGAATGGTCGAGGGGTAGTGGGGGGAGGGGGCAGCACCGATCCAGCGCCGATCCAAGAGATCCGCGCGGACCCTCGAGCGTTCGTGTCTATGCCGTTGTTCGGACGGGGCTAGGACGAGGCTGTGCCATTGCTCCTTCTCTGCAGGAGGCGCGCAAACAGATACCATCTCCAGGTTTCCGTCCGCCAGAACTGCCATCAACGCAGCTAGGACCCCCCCTCTAGCAACGTGTCTGCATGCCTCCTGCAAGGGTCTCCGAGCCAGGGAAGCGCGCTGGTCGCATGCTGAGGACCTTGGTGGGTGTCGATCGTCTACCCCTCGCCTCATCCCCCGCTCCCTTCCTCCCTCTCTTTCCCCTCCCTCTTCCAACCTCCCCCTCACCCGCTTGCCCCCTCACTATTATCATCCCGTTCCTCCCACTCATCCTCATCATCCTTCTCCTCCACATCCTCCTCCTCATCATCATCATGATCATCAACATCATCATCCTCATCATCATTGTTTCGCCATCGTCATCGTCGCCATCATCGTCATCAGCTTCATTACCATCACCAGCATCGTCATCATCATCACCAGCCTCATCAGCATCATCAGCATCAGCATCATCAGCCTCATCGCTATCATCATCACCACCAGCAGCATCATCGTCATCAACGTCATCATCATCATGATCATCCTTATCAATAGCATCATCATCATCATCATCATCATCCTCATCGCCGTCATCATCATCATCATCATCATCATCATCATCATCATCATCATCATCATCAGCATCACCATCATCATCAGCATCAGCAGCATCATCATCATTATCATCGTTATCGTCAGCATCATCAGTGGCATCAGCACCGTCACCATCATCATCACGATCCCTCATGTTCCTCTTTCTCCTCCTCCTCCTCCTCCTCCTCCTTCCCCTTCTCTCCTTCCCGCCGCCGTTTCCAACATTCGTGTTCCATGGTCACCTCCCCCTCTCTCCCACTTCCTCGTCGTATTTTCTCCGTGCCAGGTGTCCCTTCGTCTCTCTTTCTCTCTGTGTCTACAAATATTCGTATGTACACATACATATGTATATGATGTTGTCCATGCCACTCTCTCTTTTCATATAAACATATCTGTATCCCTCGTGTTTTGTTGTTTCTCTCTCCCTCTCTCCCGCTATATCCATATATCTCTCTCTCTCTCTCGTTGTCTGTAGTTCCCTGCCTCTCGCTCTCTCTCTCTCTGTGTTCCTCTCTGTCTCTCTCTCTCTCTCTATTTCTCGCTCTCTCTTTCTCTCGCTCTGACTTGTTCTTCTCCGTCCACGTAGAGATCGATTTCCGAATGGGTCCCAACACCCTGGGGAGGGATGATGGCTGTCGGAAGGGCGACGGGAGGGGAGGAGAGTTCGCACACATATCCCTCTACGAAGAGTGCGTGGATGGAGGCGTGAAGGAGGCAGGGATGCGAAATCGAGGGGAGGGAGCAGGAATCAGTTATGCGCGAGGGTTGCAGGGCAAGGGCAGGGACGGGAGATCGAGGAGGCTCGACGGGGGGAGGGGAGGAGAGGGGGGGGCGAGTCGGGCGGTGAAGAGGATGTTGGGGAGGAGGGTTCATGTTGGAAGGGAGGTGTCCCAATGGAGTGGGAGCCCGTGCTGACGTATGCGAATCTGCGGTGGGCACGTGTCGGGTTGCACCTTGCTTCCTCATTGTAGCGCCACGGCGCAGGGTGACGAAGATTCACATTGATACATCTGGGTGTGTATATATATATACATATATATACGTATGTATACACCTATAGCTATCGAATGGCCATCGGCCCACCCGGTCACCATGCTTGGGTTGTTGGTGAGAGGCATCTTGGATACTCGTTGGAATCTCGTGGGACACATCTCAGAGGCCTCCTGGAGGTAGTGTTGGGGCCTCTGGGGGGCTGCTTTGGGGCGGCATCTTGGGGCATGTTTGGGGCCTCTTGGGGCCACGCGGGGGCCTCTGGGGATCTCGTGGCGTCTCTTGGGGGCCTCTTGGGGACTCCTGGGGGCCTCCTGGGGATCTGTCGGGGCCGAGAGCTCGAAATGTCCGTTCGGGTCCCCCGTTGGATCTCTTGGAGGCCTCTTGGGCCGTCTTCGGGCCCTCTGGGGCGGTCTTGGGGCTCTCTTGGAGGCCTCTTGGGGCGTTCTTGGGGTGCTTCTGAAGCCGTTTTGGAGCGTCGGGAAGCCGAACAGGCAAAAACGCTAACATCCTTCAAAAGCCCCAGGAGCATCAATGATTTGTGCTCCTTGGAGTCCTCTCGGGAGGCGTCTTGGAGCCATCTTCGGGCGTCTTGGGGGCATCTGGGCCCATCTTGCGCGCCTTTGACCGATTGTTCGGCGATTCGGGGTCCTTATGGTGCCTTCGGTGGAACTCGAGACGTGTGAGGTTTGTTGCGCATCGTGTGCGGGAACGCATGCGAACACCGCCCCTGGAGCCTTCCCTGGAGCTTCCTATGGGGCACGTAACGTGTATGGAGTGTGCCGGATCGAGTGCGGAGACGCATTCGAACTCCGCCATTGGGGCCTTCGGTGGAGCTCCATTTGGGGCCACGAACCGTGTGAGGGGTGTCCCGACTCGGGTGCGGGGACGCATGCGATCACCGCCACTGGGGCCTTCGGTAGAGCTCCCTATGGGGCCACGAAAGGTGTGACGGGTGTCCCGACTCGGGTGCAGGGACGCATGCGAACACCGCCACTGGGGACTTCGGTGGAGTTCTTTATTGGGCCATGAAACGTGTAAGGGGTGTGTCGCCATGGTAGAGTGATGCGAAAAGCAGAGGCGCGCATGGGAGGAGGGAGGAGAGGGAGGAGGAAGGTGAGGTGAGGTGAGGTGAGGTGGAATGCGGGGTGCTGTCCTTTCAAGACAAGGACCCAACACCACAGGACGGATGGGAATAACTTCCCATCCATTTCTCAGAACATTTCCCTGGGACTGGTTTTCCATTCGACGCCAGGGTTCAGTCGGGTGTGTCCCTGTACAGGAGGATATTCAAAAATAATCCAAACATAGTCTGAGGTTTTGTTGTACACTCATATCGTCTGTTAAGAAACTCACTTTTTTGAGCTGGGTCTCAGAATTTCTTGAAATAAAATAGGAAATTCAAAAAAGCTGGGACCGATTTCTTAAGCTGGGACCGATTCCTTAAGTGCTGGAGAGGGGTTGTGCTGGGGGGCAGCACAACCCCTCAGCACAACCCCCCAGCACAACCCCCCAGCACAACCCCTCAGCACAACCCCCCAGCACAACCCCTCAGCACCACCCCACTGCACAACCCCTCAGCACAACCCCTCAGCACAACCCCTCAGCACAACCCCCAGCACCACCCCCCAGCCCAACCCCTCAGCACAACCCCTCAGCACAACCCCTCAGCACAACCCCACAGCACAACCCCTCAGCACAACCCCCCAGCACAACCCCTCAGCACAACCTCCCATCACAATCTCTCAGCACAACCCCTCAGCACAACCCCCCAGCACAACACCCCAGCACAACCCCCCAGCACAACAACCCAGACCAGCACAACCCCCCAGCACAACCCCTCAGCACAACCCCTCAGCACCACCCCAACGGCACAACCCCTCAGCACAACCCCTCAGCACAAACCCTCAGCACAACCCCCAGCACAACCCCCAGCACACAGCCCTCAGCACAACCCCTCAGCACAACCCACAGCACAACCCCCCAGCACACCCTCAGCACCACCCCCAGCCCACCCCTCAGACCTCAGCACAATCCTCAGCACAACCCCTCAGCACAAACCCTTCAGCACAACCCCTCAGCACAACCCCCCAGCACAACCCCTCAGCACAATCCCCCAGCACACCCCTCAGTAACCACCCACAGCACAACCCTCACACCCCAGCACAACCCCTCAGCACAACCCCCAGCACAACCCTCAGCACAACCCCAGCACAACCCTTCGCACAACCCCTCAGCACAACCCTCAGCACACCCCCACAGCACAACCCCTCAGCACAGACCCCAGCACAACCCCGCAGCACAACCACTCAGCACAACCCCCCAGCCCCACCCCTCAGCACAACCCGTCAGCACTACCCTCCAGCACAACCTCTCAGCATAACCCCTCAGCACAACACCTCAGCACAACCCCCCAGCACCACCCCCCAGCCCAACCCCTCAGCACAACCCCTCAGCACAACCCCTCAGCAAAACCCCACAGCACAACCCCCCAGCACAACCCCTCAGCACAACCGGTCGGCGTTTTTTAATATCTATTTTTAATATTCGGTGGAAGTCCTGCCCCCCCCCCCTCCCCCCCCCTGGCGCGACTGACTGGCGTATCTGGTATCTGCGTATCTCCGTATCTGCCACTGTGGTCGGCGCGCGAGCGGCCCGCCCCCCCCCCCATGGCGCCTGTCGGGAAATCTCGGGTATCTCGCTGGTGGTTGTGCTGGTGGCGGTTGTGCTGCTGGTGGTTGTGCTGGTGGTTGCGCTGGTGGTAGTGCTGGTCGTCGTGCTGGTGGTTATGCTGATGGCGGTTGTGCTGCTGGTGGTTGTGCCGGTGGTTGTGCTGGTGGTTGTGCTGGTGGTTGTGCCGGTGGCTGTGCTGGTGGTTGTGCTGGTGGTTGTGCGGGCGATTGTGCTGCTGGCGGGTGCGCTGGTGGTTGTGATGGTGGTTGTGCTGCTGCTGGTGGTTATGAGGGTGGTTGTGCTGGTCGTGTTTTGCTGGTGGTTGTGCTGGAGGTTGTGCTGGAGGTAGTGCTGGAGGTTGTGCGGGAGGTTGTGGTGGAGGTTGTGGTGGAGGTGGTGCTTGCGGTTGCGCTGGAGGTTGTTCTGGAGGTTGTGCGGGAGGTTGTGCGGGAGGTTGTGCAGGAGGTTGTGCTGGAGGTTGTGATGGAGGTTGTGCTCGCGGTCGTGCTGGAGGTTGTGTTGGAGGTTGTGCTGGCGGTTGTGCTGGAGGTTGTGCTGGAGGTGGTGCTGGAAGTGGTGCTGGAGGTTGTGCTGGAGGTCGTGCTGGAGGTTGTGCTGGAGGTTGTGCTGGAGGTTGTGCTGGAGGTTGTGCTGGAGGTTGTGCTGGAGGTTGTGCTGGAGGTTGTGCTGGAGGTCGTGCTGGAGGTTGTGCCGGTGGTCGTGCGGGAGGTTGTGCTGGAGGTTGTGCTGGAGGTGGTTGTGTTGGAGGTTGTGCTGGAGGTTGTCCAGGTCCAGGGGGCCGAAGGGGAAGAAGGGAAGAT